CTATCCTTATTACATCCTTCCGATATTCTTTCAATATTTTATATCTCGGAATGAACATTATTATATTTTCATATTTTTTAACATCAAATTAGAACTTTATGTAGTAACATTTTTTAGTCTCAATGTTTGTTAACATTAGTATACTTGTCGTTGTGTATGTTAACGTTAGTTGACATTAGACCTAACCTATCCTTATTACATCCTTCCGATATTCTTTCAATATTTTATATCTCGGAATGAACATTATTATATTTTCATATTTTTTAACATCAAATTAGAACTTTATGTAGTAACATTTTTTAGTCTCGATGTTTGTTGACATTAGTATACTTGTCGTTGTGTATGTTGACGTTAGTTGACATTAGACCTAACCTATCCTTATTACATCCTTCCGATATTCTTTCAATATTTTTACATCTCAGAATCTGTAGATTTTAAGAATCATAAACGTTCATACCCTTACACATATGAATAAGTGTCAGTGTCTTTGTATTTAGAAAAAAGTAGACTTTAATATACTTAGACATTGATGTCCGCAAACATCCGATCTTTACATTGACTCTACCTCGAAGAGACATTGCTAAACGTGTGTATGGATCATCGTAACCCAGAAAAGTAGATTTCCAAGACATCTAACAATATTCTAAAAATATAACTGCGAACAAATATCGAACAGAAATTTATTCGTGCTCGAAGTCTTTCTTTGTAACATATCCGAAGTTACGGGTCTCCCGTAGAAGTTTTAGGGAAAGTAGGGCGTTATTGGAACCAGGAATGTTTAGGAAGTTGAACTTCGCCGTTGACGACGTAGTTATATCGGGGTACGTTTTCCTCGAAAGTTTCTTGCAAACGCGTGGCAAGAAACCTTTCAGTTCTGTGAATTCGAGGAGCTTCCAAATAATCGCAAGTTCTTGCCGTTTCCTAGCGAAGTATACGCAACGATTTCCAGCGGAAGAAGCGTCAAACTTGAAAATCAAGAGAACGTTTAAAAAAAAAGACTTCATTCTCCACGTCTTCGATTCCTCCATTTTGTAAGCGTCGGAACGTTTTCCTTTCCATTCACGTTCCGCGGTGCTGTTACGCTTTCGTGGTACGTGGGTTGTTCAGTTTTAATCGAAATACGAAAGTTTCGCAGTTGGATAGTCTTTTCTTCCCGTTCTAATCCTTTCGCGGGACTTCTTTGGTCAGAATGGCAGACGGTTTAACGGCGCAAGGTAGATAGCGAAGATAAGGCGAATTGAAAGCCAAGGTGTTGGCCGAACAGGTTGAAGCGGTGTCGAGGGTGTTGCTAGGTTACTAGACTGTTTCTCTGTGGATGAGAAGGTAGGTAGCCGGTTTAGCGTGTGTATCTTCGATAGAAGGGAAGCTCGAACCGCGGTACACCTCAAACGTTACTCTCCTTCAACACGGACCGACCGACTTTAGGTCTTAATTTTCTTTCCATTTCCGGTCTCCTCTTCTCGTCTACCTTCTACGCTTTGTGCTTTTAATTCCGTCCTCAGTTTGTCGAAGGTTATTTGATCCTAAAAGAGTTACGACATTCGAGCCGGCTCGACTTCCCTTTCGGAACGTTGCTTGCAAACGGCAATTGCAGGCTTTGCTATAATAAGCGGGCTACTTCATCTTTTTATACATCTTTTCTTATATACTTTAAGTGCCTCATTTTATAAGATGGACCTATACATACATTGAGATAATTTAATAAACTTCAAAAGCAACTTTTAAAAGTACCTTTAATAAAACTTACAAAATTATTGAACATATTAGGTACATTTGTCATGTCAAATATCTTGTTTGTAACAAAACTTGCATCTCTATTATTTATTATAGAAGTTGATTATTACCAATGTTAATTCAGTATGAATTTATGGGATAATCATAGAAAGACCATCACCTGATATGAAAGACAAAATTTGAAAGCATTAATAGTACACAAAGAAGGGGTGCATCATCAACATACATATACTTTATGTTATTCAAGTGCCTCTCATTTTATAAGATGGCACAAAGGTATACATACATACATTAGGATAATTTGATAAACTATAAAAGCAACTTCTGAAAGTACCTTTAATAAAACTTACAAAATTCTTGAACATATTAGGTACTTAACTTAATGTCTTATTTATTATGTCAAATATCTAATTTGTAACAAAACTTGCATTTCTATTATTTATTACAAAAGTTGATTATTATTAATGTTAATTCAGTATGAATTTATAGAATAATCATAGAAAGACCATCACCTAATATGAAAGACAAAATTTGAAAGCATTAATAGTACACAAAGAAGGGGTGCATCATCAACATACATATACTTTATGTTATTCAAGTGCCTCTCATTTTATAAGATGGCACAAAGGTATACATACATACATTAGGATAATTTGATAAACTATAAAAGCAACTTCTGAAAGTACCTTTAATAAAATTGACAGAATAATTGAACATACTAGGTACTTAACTTAATGTCTTATTTATTATGTCAAATATCTAATTTGTAACAAAACTTGCATCTCTATTATTTATTATAGAAGTTGATTATTACCAATGTTAATTCAGTATGAATTTATGAGGTGTTCGCAGAAGGACCATCACTTAATATGGCTATAGAAATTTTAAACCAATTTTGTTGGGATCAAAAAAAGAAACGCTTTATAGTCCTCTTACTTTAAATGGATTATAGAGTGACAACGTTTGAAAGCACTAATAGTACCCAAAAATGAGACGTGTCTGCATTAACAAGGACGTCCACATATTGAATAACCAGAAGCATTGTATGTGGATTTGAACGAACAAACGGGTGCCAATATCCTCGAAGAGATTAAAGTGGAGGTGTTTCTCTGTTTCCGCGACCCTTTCAGCGGTCCAGAAAGTTTGTTAAACGACAAATCGTAGCGGAAGCAGGGAATAATTTCATAGCAATTCATAGCGGAACAATTGTCCGTTTAATGGAGTTTCCTGTAGGCGTTAACGACCTCTTTGCTCGGCTCGTTTATCCTGAAAGATCACAAATTGATCGCAATATATTCGGTTAACAGCTGTTCGTTGTGTACTACATTGAACAGCAGCCTGGTTTTCGGCTACGATAACCAACAACGAACCCTTCGACCATAAGGCAAACCCGATAGATACACCCGCGATCCGTTATACACAGCCTCTCTCGTTTTCATGTTGCGGTTGCATTAAAACAACCTGTTACCCCCGGATCCTGCTAACTTCGATCCTAGTTTTCTAATAACGAAAAACGATCCCCTAGTTAACGATGGAAATTACACAACAAGGTTGCTCCTGTACCAACGATCGTCTCGATAGAACCAACACGATTACCGGGGCCTATAGTTAGCCCCTAGTTTAACGTTGATACTCGAATAAGCTAGTTGTATGGACGTAAACAACGCGATAGAGCTGCCCTGTTTAATGTGTTTAGCACCGTGTTGGTTGCACGTCCTACATTTTATATTATCGAACCATTCGGGGACCTTGTTACGTATGGACTTTTATGCATGCGATGTGATTTCTGTGCCATTGAATTTTCACGTAATCGTATCGTATTATTAATTGTGTTATATGTACTAAAACACCGCGTATACTATTAATATTACACTAATAACTAATAACAGAGGATACAATTAGGGTACAACATTGAGAGTTCAAATTTATGACTCGATCAATTAATCTTGACAAACCATCAATTCTTTTATATCTGTCTTTAAAGAATGATACATACAAAATATCTTATCAAAGAAGGAAGGTGGAGTTCCCTGTTTCCAGCAGCAAATAAATCGAACACTTCATCGGGACGTTTTTCACGAACGTCGAATGTCGTCTTTGGCCTCGATCGTACGTATCGGTTCAATTTTCATTTCCCTTCAATTTGCCATGGCGCTCTTCAGCCGATTCGAGAGGATTTGGGTACATACTCGAGTTAACGACTTCATTCGCGCTTCGTTCGCTAATCGTCAGCCTTGCCAAAGAGGGAGTATTTTAAGGAGCACCAGAAGCAGAACGCTCTGCTACAGGCGAGGACACTCTTAAATAAACTCGATCGAGCTTTCGGAAATTAATTAACCTTGCTGTGCTCTTTGTATTTCTGTACCAGTTCATTAAGTTTATATTTTTAGTTATTGCGCATTTACAAGTTGGAAACTAGAGGATTCGGAAATTGGGAGGTTTGGAAGAGGCAGAGTTTCAAATTTATGAAATTAGGCACTTGGAGTGTTTGGATAATTCGAGTGATTTGGATCAATTGAAGTATTTGACCCATTTGAATCAGGTGGTTCAGCTGGATCACTTGGTTTAGTTGGATTATTAGGACCATTTGGATATTTTAGATCGTTTGTACTATTTGCGTCAGTTGGATCATTTGGACCATTTAAACAATTTGGATCAGTTGGATCATTTGTACTATTTGGATCAGTTGGATTATTTCCAGTATATGGATCATTTGGACCATTTAAACTATTTGGATCATTTGCATCATTTGGACTATTTGGATCATTTGGATCATTTGTACTGTTTGGATCAACTGGATCATTTCCAATATATGGATCATTTGGATCATTTAAACAATTTGGATCATTTGCATCATTTGGTCTATTTGGATCACTCGGATCATTTGTACTATTTGGATCAGTTGGAGCATTTGCATCATTTGGATCATTTAGACCATTTAAACAATTTGGATCATTTGCATCATTTGGACTATTTGGATCACTCGGATCATTTGTACTATTTGGATCAGTTGGAGCATTTGCATCATTTGGATTATTTGGACCATTTAAACAATTTGAATCATTTGCATCATTTGGACTATTTGGATCACTTGGATCATTTGTATTATTTGGATCAGTTGGAGCATTTGCATCATTTGGATTATTTGGTCCATTTAAACAATTTGGATCATTTGCATCATTTGGACTATTTGGATCACTTGGATCATTTGTACTATTTGGATCAGTTAGAGCATTCGCATCATTTGGATCATTTGAACCATTTAGTCAATTTGAATTTCTTGGATCATTTCTACTACTTGGATCAGTTGGATCATTTAGACTACTTGAATCATTTGAACCATTTAGATTATTTAAACAATCTGGATCATTTAGATCATTTGGACTATTTAGATCATTTAGATCATTTGGCCCATTTGAATCGTTTAAACTATTTGTATTCCTTGAATCATTTCCACTACTTGGATCAGTTGGATCGTTTAGACTACTTGAATCATTTGGACCACTTAGATTATTTAAACAACCTGGATCATTTAGATCATTTGGACTATTTAGATCATTTAGATCATTTGGCCCATTTGAATCGTTTAAACTATTTGTATTACTTGGACCATTTGGATAATCTAGATTATTTAGACTGTTTGTATCAATTGCATTAGTTCCATCATTTGAACCAAATGAATCATTCGAATCATTTCTACCAACTGTACCACTTGTATCATTGATCAAATTCAGTAAATAAGCTTGATAATTTTAAGACACAAAAGAAGAGTCGTCCGTCAGCTGTACGAAAGCTGTCGAAAGCGATACCGTAAAAATTGCGACTCGTATTCGTTATAAGGACGATAATGGAGTGAATGAAAGGACGAGGGGAAAGGACCCAAACGAGAAAATCAGATTATCAGATTCGTATCGGGGCTCGTTTCGAATTCATGTCGCGTGGAGTCGCCACGCGCGCAGATAACACGCCGCGTTTTCTATCGCTAATGGGAAACGGTGTCTGGCTGCCAGTCACTGTCTCGACGATCGAACCAACCCCGGTAATACGAATTTCCTTTGCCGTGGCACGATCAAATCTGCTTATTCTCACGAGCGGAATAACGTAACGTCGCCGAAGCGTGGCCTCTTCGCCGTTTCCACAAACGGAATATTGCGGACCTGCTGAATTCGAACATCCCGATACGTTCTCTTCCGTGGACGACCACATCGTTTCTATGTATCCACGTGTCGATACCTACTGATTCATCGATGAATTCGAAACCAACGTTTCACCCTAAATGATTCGGGACGGTGACCTCCATTTTGTCGTAACGCGTTACGTGCTGGAAACATGAACTTCGATAATAATTTCTCTAATTAATGGATTAGTTATCGCACTCTTAACGCGTTCACTATTGTGCTAAGTGAATTCTTTCACTTTTTTAAATTTTTGTGACTGATTCTTTTTTCGAAATGAAAAATGTACATCTTAGAAACAAAATAGGTATGTAGGCCTCTTTTAAGCAAGAACATGTACATAATCTTTTAAGCTTCTCAAATTCTTTAGACAGCTGTATCTTCGTTTGTCCAAAAGAGTTCAAGCAAAAGGTACATAACATACATCTCTATTATTAAAATATCTTTCAGTAATAATATTTTTTGAATTTTTGTGAGTAATTCTTTATTGAAAATGAAAAATGTACATCTCAGAAACAAAATAGATATGTAGGCCTCTTTTAAGCAAGAACATGTACATAAACTTTCAAGCTTCTCAAATTCTTTAGACAGCTGTATCTTCGTTTGTCCAAAAGAGTTCAAGCAAAAGGTCCATAAACTATATCTTCATTACTAAAATATCTTCCAGTAATATCACCCAGTGCATTTGTGAAAAATAAATTGTCAAGGAAGAGTTCTGTAAACCCTCGTGACCTCTTAACGATAGGAAAAACGTAGGACGTCTAATTCCTCGATGTAGCAGCGCTATTGGTTCACGATTTTTCGCCCGAGATGGTAGAAAGGTCCGATGGAAGCTTTTCTTCGGACAGAGGACGAGAAACGTAAAAAGCGTCGAAGTCGGAGAGAGGAAATCGAGAAAGGTAAAAAGGAAAGGAGCAGAAGAAAAAGCATCAGAATCGTTGACCGATTCCACGGACTTCGAGAGGAGATTCTGTAGCTGGAATTGTTTTTTCGGCCAACTGCTGTGTCCTCCGTGGAGCCATTAAAGCGACTTCTGGCCCCGCCACGAGCGAGACGAAAAATAAGAAACAGCAGAGGCAAAAAGCGAACGGGGCTGGATACCCGGGATGACGTAACGGCCAAAAGGGATCCCTTGAATCCCCTTACGATGATTGCGGTAGGCTTTTCGGAGCAGCCCTTTTCCTCGAGTATCATCGTTTACCGTTGCTTCTCGCCTCTTATCGCGTTTCCACGGAGCCCGTTTCATCCGACGATGATGTCACACTACCGGCTGTTCTGAACCACGGGAACCGCAGATAGGCCGGAATTTCGTGCTATCTGGAAACGGTGCATCCCAAGACCATAATCGAAATAATCGTACGATTCGAAGCAACAGCTTCTTGGAATAACGAATCTTTACCATCCCTCCTTTTATACTTCCTTAGGGCTCTATTAACTCTGATTCGCACAGGGAAACGTAGAAACGCTTGTGGATAATGAAGGAATTTTTCAAATTAGGAATTTGCAGCTTCCTTGGCAGAGACATAAAAGCTGCCAAGTTTGAAAATTCCAAATTTTCCTCCTTCTAAATTTAAATATCAAAATTGTGCTCCCACTGTTCATCTGCACGTTGAATATCTGAAATTTGTGTATTTGACAACTTTGACTGACTTCAAATTTTTGTATTTCCAAATCTAAAAATTCACAAACTGAACATACATAAACTATGAAAATTTCAAACCTTGATATTTCCATATTTCTAAACATTTAAATTGCTAATGTCCTCTCATGAAAATTCCAGTCGTCATTCCTTGCTTTAGCAACAAAAAATTTCCCCTCTTGCCTGCACTTAAAATATTAAAAAATGAAGTACACAAAAATCCACCAACATAACCTCATAATCACAGCGTATTAAAAGCGAAAATGTCCTAATTATCTCTGCCCTCCAACATTGATTAAGCAATTTCCTTAAGTCTGCGAGTGGCAGTGAATTTGAGGAAATAAGTTTTCCCCTGTTCAGGTTTTCGGGTCATGCATTTTCGTGGGAGGATAAGGATAGCCAGGGTTTAGGGTGGTCGTAGCAAAAAGAGGAAGAAGAGCCGGGAAAGGAAAGAAGGGAAAAAAGGGACGAGGGCGAGAGAGAGGTGGCGCCTGGCAGGCAGGGTTCGCCGCCGCGAACTTTAGCAGATATTGAATATCTTGGACCATCAATCACTTCGGCACGGCAATATCCGAAAGTATTGGCCTTATATTTGTTTCTATATCGGGCACCGATTTATGGCTGAAGCACGTCCTTCCGTCAGCTACGGAAATCATCGTCCAACGACTTTGCGTACTCTATATTGATTTTCGCTTCGTGTTTTTGCTTCCTTGGACCTGTGAGTAATCTTCTGGGCTCCTAAATAATAATTTGTTATATTGAAAATGAATTTTTAATGCGATAACGAAGATGAAGCTTTAAAAGGTATTGTGAAATGGTAGTTGTGATGTATCTGTTTGAAGTCTTTGGTAAAAATGACTGTGTGAGCTCTCCACGTATGTAGTCCACATATGTGTTAATATGTATAACGCAAACTAATAATCATTGATCTGAACGAGCAGTCAAATACTTATATAATAACCGACCTATTAAAAATATTAACAAAAGCAATTGTAAGGTTATTTCATGCTAAAATTAAATCACATACTCATCTAATATATGTGTTACTTTAAAACGATCTTATGTCATCTTTTGTCAGAGTTAGAGGCTCTGAAATCATGATTTGACTGAAACAGATCATGGTTCGTTATAATAGCAGACACTATAGCAAGCCATTTAATTTGATATGAATTGATAGAGGTTTATAGCGATTGGACTAAATCTGTATTGAATTTATATGCTCGATTGAACTCTTCAAATTCATGAATCGTCTTGTGAAACCGTTTTGGAAAGCAAGGGGGTTCATTCGAATTGAACGTGTTCAATTTGATACAAGCAATTCCCAAAATGTGGAGAATCGATATAGCCTACTTTGGATCCATTAATCTGATGTAGACCCCCGTTAACTGGTCTAGATAACCTCAGAGCGCCACTATCAGATACTAGACCTAACCGAGACGCCATTGGGTTCATCCTGTTTGATATAGATCCCAGAGGATCCGTGACTCGATGGAGATACCATAAGATCTATTAGGTTGTTGCATATCTAATGGCTGATTGTCGAAACATGGAAAATATCGCGACCTGCGTCAGCGGTTCTTCTGACAAAACAAGTAACAATATATTTCCGTACATATTTACTCTGCTATTACACACTTATTCTGCTATTAAAAAATAGTAACGAATAATAAGAATGCTTAAAATAATTTTCAAAAACGTTACCATTAAAATATTGCAATTTAATTCTTTCTCAAATACCAATTAAGAAATTAGTCATTATTTTTTATCCGTCATCAACCACAAATATTTATAATCAGTGATTGCGAATTTCGCAAGTTGAATTTCGATAAAAAAAAAATTAGTCGATGAAATAAAATACGTTAATCAATCGACACCTAGAACCGATCGCCACAGTGGCTTCTGTTCAATCAATATCTTCGATAATAGAATCTATCAACGGATTTATTGAATCATATTCCATATCGTTCGGCTAAAATGTTTCCTGCTATCCGGTGAAAAGATTTCTCTTAACAAACAGCGTGAACATTTTCCCGAATCGTTCTTCCACTCTTTCCTTTTTTATTCGATGTATGCTCACGGACGCGAGAGCCACGCGAACGTGGACGTTTCTCTTTATTAAATTTTCACCAAATTCTACTTTTCCTCTTTTCACCGTTAAAACCGACAGATCCTTACAGAGCGAGATCGTACGTGTCCATCTCTGCCTACGTACTTCCATATGTACATACATTGTTCCCATATTTTATTCGTCTTCAAACACGTACATTTATTCGTTACAGTATGTTTATTTAACTGCTTACTTACCGCAGTGATTATATTTTTACTATATCTGGATTTAGTGCTTATAATTAAATCATGTATTCATACTAAAGCTTGTATAAAATATATAAAATTGGTAATGGAAATAAATTTAACTTCGAGCTATATCGTTTCGTAGGTTTAACATTAATATTATCTTTAATGTTTAACATTATCGTTAATATTATCTTCAATGTTTAACATTATCGTTAATATTATCTTCAATGTTTAACATTATCGTTAATATTATCTTTAATGTTTAACATTATCATTAATATTATTTTTAATGTTTAACATTATCGTTAATATTATCTTCAATGTTTAACATTATCATTAACATTATTTTCAATGTTTAACATTATCGTTAATATTATCTTCAATGTTTAACATTATCGTTAATATTATCTTCAATGTTTAACATTATCGTTAATATTATCTTCAATGTTTAACATTATCGTTAATATTATCTTCAATGTTTAACATTATCGTTAATATTATCTTCAATGTTTAACATTATCGTTAATATTATCTTCAATGTTTAACATTATCGTTAATATTATCTTCAATGTTTAACATTATCGTTAATATTATCTTCAATGTTTAACATTATCGTTAATATTATCTTCAATG